AGTTTGAAATGTGTTTTTAGAAGCATGCAAACTTGTTTGAATTTTATCTTGAGTTTCTGTGGTCCAAAAATTATGAAATTTTGTGGGCAGTCTGTTATTGCTGATGTGAAGCTCTAGTAAAAATTTTAGAGCTAGTGCATGTGTAGTTTTTAAGTTTTAGAATTTCCTTTTATTAATAGATGGATCTTGTGTGAATTTTCATAAGTTTTCTATAGATCCAGTGAAGGTGAAATTTTATGGGTGCTATTCTTATGCTAGAAGGATGCTAGGAAAAATGGGAAATCTGTTGCTTGACACTTTTTAATAAGGTTTCCTAATTATGCTAGAAATAGACATAGCATCTGTTATTTTGGATACAGCAAGTTATGTTGGTCCAATTGCTTTGGAATTTTTATGGTAGTCTATGTGCAGCATGAGATAGCTACTGTAATTTTTGTAGATTTTTATGAATAGTTTTACTATATATTGCTTAAATCACCTAATTAACTAAATAAATTGGAAAAGGATATTAAATAATTTATTTAGAAGCTAGCACTATACTTTCTGATGTTTCTTAGATATGAAAAACAAGTTGGTAAACTTGGTTTGGTCAAATTAGGCTTTTGCACCATCATTAAATAATTAAGTTAGCAACCCCGTCATTCTGGACAGATTCTAGGTCTACTGGAAATTGATTTAGTTAACTTCAGAATCATGCCTTGATGCTTACAAATGAATTGTAGAGAATTTCATAAGCTTTCCAGAATGTCCTCTTGCAAGTCATTTAGAGTTATAGAACTCTGGTTATGGTAGAATTAAGTTACTACTTGTTGCATATGAAGCTTTAACTGTTATTTTAAGCATGTCTTTACTATTCTAAGTTCATGGTACTGTTCCTAGGTGTTAGGCCTCTAACTGAAGATGAGCATCTTTATCTTAGGTTATGCAAGTTAGGTAAGTTGCTCTTGTTGTTTAAGTTAAGTTGGATACATACTTAAAGTGATTTGAATAGAGCTAATTACTCGTAAAAGCGAGTGTCGGTGAGGTTTTCGTAAACACCCATTGTGATTCATTCATCATGAGCACCATGTCATTCCTTATGCATTCATGATATTTATCTTGTGCATCGGCATGCAATAGGTGTGTGCGGAAGGAGTAACCTGCTTTGGAGTTCGAGAACAGAAAGCGGCGGCGGCAGCAATGACGCCTTGGGAGATTCGGGGAGGCGACCTATACGGAGAAGTGCAGACGAGGTCGCCGTTGAGTGCCACGACCACCGTCCTTGCAACTTTGTGAAAGGCAAGCCGGAGCATATTAAGCCTCCTATTTTCGAACTGCGATTCTGATATTATTATTACATATATTGTTGCATTAAGTTTAGGTGTTGGATGCAAACACTTTTGCATTGGTTACCTATTCCTTGTCCGGATATTGTTACCTGAATCCTATGTAGCTCGAGGCTCGAGTAGTGCTTAGCCTGCTTAGCCTTGGTAGAAGTCGGGTGATTTCTGTCACTGCGAGATATAGGAAGATACATGTGGCACGGTTGGCTATATTTGCTATCGTGGAAAAGAACCGGTCTTAATTTGAAATGAAGACCCGGACGGAGGCTTGCCGGTTTGCGATGACTCCGTCGTGTAAACAGGACTGATTCTTGGAGCCTTTTCTGTTCATGTTGAGCATGCCTCTCTCTTAGTTGGCAGATGCGGAGACCGACCACGAAGCCGAGTAGCTCACCTCGGGTAGGAGTCGATAAGTATAAAGTGCGCCTCGGAAGGGAGCCGTGGCGTGAGTCAAAGGAGGTGATTTAAAAGTCGATCGTCTGGCGGAAGGGTAATCCACGAGAGTCTTTTGTTGATCGAACCAGCAATTTGGTTCTGAGATGTTCCAAAAGGTGACCACGGCTACCCTTGCAAAGTATGCGGGGTGAGAGTTAGGAATACCCCTCGGTGAGTTGTAATTCGATTGAATCGCCGTCTCTCCCGGTTAGTGAGAACTTGGCGGGCTTATCTCCAATGTAGATACACTTAATAACTTAATGGTTGGAAATGATGATATGATGATGTGACCTTATTATACTGCTATGGTTAATATTGTTTGCTCCTAATAAATGAGTGCTCTAATGCAGGTGCTAATCTAGTGGGCAGTAAGCGATGATAAGCTTGATGCTAAGTTTAAATTGGTTACTATGCTCATAAGCTCTTTTATGCAAATGTGTCAAGCTAGCCCACACGAAAAGCCTTGCATGATCCTTGGTGTCGTTTATTTCGATTTTTGTCGGGTAAGTCTCTGGTGAGTACCTTCTCGTACTCGGGGTTTATTCCCCACATTGCAGATGACCCGGTTCTTCTTTGGTTCTTTGCAAGTCTCGCCTTCTCCCTGCTTTGGGGATGAAGACTAGACCGTTAGGCGCGGTCTCTACTAGTTCTCGTGCGACGATAATGCTTTTGTGGGACATGACTACGATGCGGCAATGTAATTGAAACTATGAAGTTATGTACTAAACTATGTTGCTTCCGCACACTCAAACTTGGTTTGTAATATTTTATTTGAACTCGATGGATGTAATCCGAATGCTACTTGTGAAATGTTGTAACGAATGATGTGTTGTGTTGAATCATTACGATCTTGGTTTTGTATGTCGAGAGTTGGTTGAAATCCTTCGTGATTTCGGACTCTACGGGATTATGGGAGCTTAAATGCAGAGAATTTGATCGCGGTGATTGATTTTTTGTACTTACGTTCTTATGATTTAGTCGGTTTACATTACCGGTGCTTCTTCCCACCCGGCATGGTGGGGTTGACTTCCCACGTGGCGTCCATGCGACGGTCGGCGGTGGAGACGGAGCGGGCGGACCAGGTAGGAGCTTCTTCCCCTTGTCTGATTCGCTCTCTTCCCCTTCCTCATCGTGAGTTAGGGTTAGGGTTTGACTCACTACAATCATTGTTCATCTTCCCCAGCGAGTTCTTCATGGGTTAGGGTTTGGCTTCGCGTGCCGAGACCCCTTTCTTTTCTCTTACTGCTTTCATTCACGTTGTTAGGGTTAGGGTTACTTTTGCTACCGGCGGCCGTCGGTCTAGCTTCGGCAAGCCGCCTCCCATGCCCTTTCCCCTTTCCCCTTCTCTGTCTTTAGATCTTGCTGTGTTCTTCTCGGTTCTTTACCGATTGGGGATTAGGGTTAGGGTTAGGGTTTCGTTAGGGTTAGGATTAACCCGATTCGTTTTTCTTTTGGTTTTGTTTCGAGATCGGTGAGGTAAGCCCCTTCCCCTCTTGCCCTTCTTCTCTTTTGGATCTTCTTTCTTTTTTTCGGAGTTGAACCGATTTGGGGTTGGGGTTAGGGTTAGGGTTATTGTTCTTCTTTCCCGACGGGTTAGGGTTCGGTTGAACTCTCTGCATCTCGATTTCTTTCCCGATTAGGGTTAGGGTTTCAATCCGAAACGGATCAAACCCTCTGTTCCTCTTTGTTTTCTTTTCAATTCTCTACCCCATACTAGATCTACACACTATTAACCTAGCTCTGGTACCATTGTTAGGAAAACAGTACCTCTGAAACATAGATCAGGGGATAAACATCTTACTTAGATGGAGAAACTGATTCCTCTACTTCGCCCTAGCGTAGTTGCGCCGCAGCCGCGTGGACGCCGGTGTCGTGGGAGCTCGGCGCAGTGGAGTCCAGCGTAGTGGTGGCGATGCAGAGGCGACGGTGATGCGAGGTGCCGCGGTCCGGTGGTGACGGCGAAGTCAGTGGGTCTTCTCGTCGCTGGCAGCACCCTCTTTAGATCAGGTTAGGTTTTACTGTTGGTGGGTCACAACGGCTCAGGTCAGCCTCGTAGTTAGAGCCCTGGTCTCCACCTCTCTTTATAGTGTTGTGCGATGGGGGCCCGCCAACCATGGAGTGGTTGGACGCCCCCGATCAGGGCGTTGATCCAAGGGCCCAATTGGCCGTTGGTGGAGATCAAACTAACACCAAGATCAAACCTAAATGTGTTTTTTATTAGTTGATAGAATAGAGTAGAACAAAATGCTCACAATAGACGTCATGGCCTCCAAGAACTATCCATGCAATCCAATCTATTGTGTTTGTGTATGTTCAAATGAACAAGAAACAACACCATAATTTGTTTAATAACACATCAATACTTGACAGGTCTAGATGGTCTAGATGAAGTTCACCAATCTCTTGCAAATTGATCTACCATAAGATCTAGCATAATATTATTCAATAAAAGTTTGGATTTGATTAGTGGAGTAGTTAAAGCAAGACAAACCACAAAATAAACACGGGACTGATTTTACTATCATGGTGGGGAGTCTAGAAGATCATAAACTATAGAATTCCAAGTTAAAACTTACATTTCCCAACTACGACTACGTAGAGGTGGTTGGGGGATATTTCCTTTGATTATTTGTTGTTTATTTACTTAATACATTTTGTCTCCCTTTCCTATTTGCATCTAAGTACTGTAAACTTCTCTCCTTCAGAATGATTTTTGTAGGACTATTTCCCTTTGCATTTGAAAAGAAGGATAACTAATTTTGTTTCTCCTCAGGATGTCTTCCAGAACATCAATTGCGATGATCAACCAGGACATACCAAAAGATGTCATATGTAGCAACATCTTTTCACGTCTTCGTTTCAAGTTGGTCACATGCTTGAAGACCATATCCAAGGATTACTACAGATGTCTCACAAACAACACTGAGTTTGCTGCAAAACAGGCGACACTTTGCCCAACACCAATCCACATTGGTTTGCCTGATAAGGAATCATATATATACTCACTTGATGTTCTCTCATCGACACCTTCTATAGTTGGTGTTCCCTCATCAGGGATCGATTTCCTTGGTCGCTGCATAGGTGATGGGCGTTTTGATCTCCTTGCCTCAACAAATGGCCTTCTTTGCATCCGCTACACACCATACTATAGTGGCCCTCTCACTCCACCACCTACCATGCATGTAGCAAATCCAGCAACACAACAAATCCCAACCAATCCCTAGTGTGGCTAATCATCTAGACATGACTAGTGCCATAGGTCTGGTGTTTGATCCATTAGATGATCGCCAAGGAAAAACATACAAGTTCATGATTGTCCATGCATTGCCAACCCCTACCATAAACGATACTTTAGTTGAGTTCCATTTTATCTCTTTTTCCTCAGATACGGGTCGGTGGGTCATGTCAAATAATATGATTACTGCAAACATGGAAAAGGTAGAATGCCAAAAGGTGGTATATTCAAGTGGTATTCTATATTGGGACTATCAAGAGGATCTACTTTGGTTTGATGTTGGAAGAAGTGCAGTTGGGAGCATCAAGATGCCTTGGAAGCTACCAGGGTTCCATGTTGATGAGGGCCATAGCATTGATGTCTCTAGCAATGGTATGCTCATGTGTACAACCATTAGCAAGGATGGTTTGGCCATGTACCAGCTTGTGAGTATAGGTGATTACCATTGGGAGCTCAAGCATATGAAAGGATGGAAGAGCATTATGGAGATGTGTTGCGATGAATTCCAATTTTGCCATTCAATGAAGCTACGTAATGGGTGGCAAAACAAGTTTTATGAGAGGTGGTTTGTGTATCCACTCGGTCTAGAGAGTGGGAGGTGGGTTTATATTGGGGTGAGGCAAAAATGGAAGACGTCAGACAAAGTATTACGTTATGACATGGACACAGGCATGGTGGAAAATACTGGGAAGGAATTGGGTAGTGCATTTGACATGAGTTGTGCCTTTGGATACTATCGGTGTTTAATGACCGGCAACCCATCACGGGGGTACCCGGGAAGGTGTTCGAAGGGCTTCGGACCCTCTTGTCGAGTAATAGCCTTTACGTCGAGTCAGCGTGTAGCCTTTTGCGTTGGATTGATTGTATGATTGTGTGTTATGGCCTCTTCCAATCTAGGGAGCCTTGCTCTCATTTATATAGCCCAGGAGGCAAGTCTTCTAGTCGGTTATAATAGAGGAGTCCTAGTAGGATTACGTGATAGCAATGTTACTAGGATTACATGTGGGGAATCCTAATCGGACTAGATCTTCTCCCTTTCTTGCGGGGTACTCAGGGACTATGTCCCACAAGCCCCCGAGCACTGTATGGTTAAAGTTTGGAAGCCTTCTTGTTCCTCCAGGTCTTGCCGAGTAGAAACAAGCTTCGTCCAAGTGCTTTCTAAGAGAAACCATGTAGTGCTTCTTGAAATATTCGAGTGGTGTGCACTTTTCGGAAAAAATGCACTCACTAAGTGTAGCCCCCGAGCCTCTTGCTGTTTGAAACAAAGAGTTGGAGGGTCTTGTTTCAATTCCTTTTCGAAGAATTTTGAATACATCCTCTGAGGATATATATCCTGCAGCCCCTGAGCCTACAATCCGACTACTCGGTAGTCGATTATAGGGTCTTGTAGACGTCCTCAAGGGTGCAGGCGAGTATCCCTCCGAAGACAATGATCAATGACCGCTTGTCAAGTGGATAAATGCTTGTAAATTTGGTCTTCCATCCTTGAATCCGAGCCCCCGAGCGTAGTTCAAGTGAAGCCGAGTAGGCCGTGATAATAGCGAGCCCCCGAGCTTAGTGGCGTGGTATCAAGTAGATGGATGAGCATGTACGCCTGTCGTGAGAGCATGTACATATGTATGATTTAAATCTCCCAACAGCTTGAAGCTTGTCGTCTTCTTGCATGTTGCTGTAGGCTGTGCGTCTTGCTTTGTGTTTGCTGATTTACAGCTCGACGGGCTTGCTTGTGGCTTGCCACCGGCTCGGACAGCTCGTTCTCGGATCACCAGCAACTTGAAGGATTGATGTGTACTCCATACATCTTGAGACCCGTGTATGCGTGCCAAGTTGGTCGAGTTTTGCCGTGACCGACTGGTACCGCGGCGCACGGCAGCAGCACTGGACTCAAACTCGGATTTGCATGTAAAGTTTCAAGTTTTTTCACTCTCTCTCCATTACATCAATTTTTGGACACATGTATGGAGCATTAAATATAGGTAAAAAAAAGTAACTAATTACACAGTTTGGTTGTAAATCACGAGACGAATCTTTTGAGCCTAGTTAGTCCATGATCGGACAAAGTTTGTCAAATACAAACGAAACATGCTACAGTGTCCAGATTGCAAAAATTTACAATCTAAACAAGGCTAAGAACCGTTTGATGCTACCGAAGCGTGCTATTGATCAGGCGCCTCTGTCGGGGTTGATGTGGAGTTGGCCCTGCTTAGTGGAATAGTGTCCGTCGAGGTGGCGCTGATCGTATCATGGATAAGCCACCATATCTGCTAAGCACGATGAATGCCTGGGCTGCTTCTTCTACACACCAACTCCTGGATGCCTGATGCATACAGGCATGCACACGTGGATGCAGGATTTGTACTCGACTTTGCATGGCTGATGTGCAGTATTTCCTTGCTGCATTGCTTGTTTGAAAATTGCGACTTAGCAACTCGTACAGCGGCTCAGGCTCACTTGCTATGGGGTGCCGCTGCATGGCACTGCCACCGGATTATTAGCATGTGTCATTTGTCCGACTTTATACTCGTCGATATGGGATGCATGCGAGACTGATCTCGATCTCGTCATCACCGACTTCCTGATGTTGATTCCGGTGAACTCCGGGGAGTTAGCGGGTAAGATGCCACTGCCAATAACTCCAAGTCAGGAAGTCCCATTGCATGCTGTCTGTCTCAAGCTGCTGAAGGACGCCATTGTGTGACGTCGAGTTGCCATGGCAACGGCCGAGTAGAAATCTAGACTTTATTTTTGAACTCATTTTTATAGTCGGCTCGCAGAGTAAGATGCTTCCGAGTGAAAGGTTTTGGATGACTTAGGACGAGTCTGTCCGAGTGCATCATTAAGCACTATAAATCAAGATACTTGTTGACTGCTTCTCTGTTGGCATCCGCGCCGTTGAAGAGATAGCCTCCACCTTTGTTAATCAGTTAAACTTGTTGTAGACTAACTTGTAGCCTGTAGACAATGTAAGACTATATGGAATCGTCAATAAATTCTGTTAGTCTGTTAGTAAGCCGAGTGCCCCAGGGGTTGGCTTGTTTGAGTAACTTTTGTTTATAAAAAGTTGCTTTATACTGTCAATCTTTAAATAAGATTGTAGTCTTTCTAGTGTGGGCATGTTTTTGCCTTGTATAGTCCTTAGAAAGGCGTATAAGACAAGTTAGCCGAGTAAAGAGCAGTCGACGCAGTCATTATGATGGAAATCATGTTAGACCCTTCCATCGACGTTAAGTGCGTAATACCACTTGTATCAAGGGACCTTTGTAGCGATTGTTCACTGTTAGGATCCCGCCCTGTAGCGAATGAATCAGGCACCTTGCTTCCGAGAATCACCCTACCCAGGACGACATGCAATAGCGTTAACTAAATGTCGGTTAGCGGCACACACCAGCCGCAAAGACGTGAGCCGACTGAGTAGTCAGCGTATCTCGTGAAGGGACAATACAGCCAAATACTCAACGTATGCAGTGTAAGACTGCGTACCAAGTGATATCAATCGTAGTTAGAGATGTATAGCCGTGCGAGTAGTCGGCGTACCTCACAAAAAGGCAATATAGCCCAGTATCCAGCGTATGCAACTTGTCAAGGTTGCATGCCGGGTGGCAACATCATAGTCGGAGAGATATGTAGCAGCATGGATAGCCGGCCTATCTCATAGTTTAGAAAGTAGCAGCATGGCTACTTGTCAAACGTGTGAACAACGCTTGATTGTGTACCTTGTAAAATAGATGCGACATTAGTGGCAGAGATGTGAGCCATCAATGGCATATCCCTGCATACTGACGGTGATAACCGCCATGTATGCTGACAACGATGGCTGGAGCCATTGACGATGAAGGCCGAGGCAGCGGCAACGGCAAGTTGTCGATGAGAACCGACAAGAGCCGAGGCGGTCAGCATCGACGAGTTGTCGACGCGAGCCATGGTGGCGAGTCGTCGGTGAGGGCCAACAAGAGCTGTGGCGGCGAGTTGTCCACTAGAGGCAGTCCGCGGAGGCACATACCTCACCCAACGAAGTAGTGGTCTGAGTAAGATAGCCTGCGAAGGCGCGTACCTCACCCAGATCTGGTTCCCTGTAAGATAAATATACAAATTTTGTAGTTATTGATATTCGGGATAAAGTCGGGAGCAGGTCCCATGCATGTAAAATAATAAGTCAGGAGCAGATCCCAGTATTATGAAAGGCATGTAAAATTTTTCGCATCTTGCTCTTGTTAGGATGTGTAAATGTCCCGAGTAGCTGACCCGTATGTGTAAGCACTTGTATCTCTGTCGTATGGTTGTTAGGTTCATGACAGTGACCATGTGAGTCGTGTGAGTAAACAATGCGTCACATGTGAGTTCGCACTACTCAAGTATTTTTACAACCGTTAAGAGAAAACTAGAGCAGTCGGCGCTTCACGAAAAAAGAGAATGTGCATGGAACGCATGTTAGGTGTAGTCCTGACTACAAGCTTGGAGCTATGTGAGTAGTCGGGAACGTAGTTTTATAGTATAGTATGGCCATGGAGGCACATGTATAATATGCAGAGATATATAAAAATTAAAGAATATTTAATAAAATATTAAAGATTGATGACTTCGAATAGAGTAGTCATTGATGCGAACGCGGCGTGCTGTCCGGGTACCACCGTGGGATGACGACGGACGACGAGTGCCGTGGCGGGTATTGTCCGGGTGCCATCGTGGGATGACGACGGGAGACGAGTGCCCGTTCGAGATCCACAGCATGTGTGGCCATTGGAGTTGGAGTTGGCTTTGATGTAGTCGAACTCGACGTGAAGGCGGAGTCAAACTCGATCATAGAACTCGTCGATGATTATGGTCCTGTAGATGATGTCGGGTCTTCTTGTTTGTCTGCTCATGATGGTCTTCGCATAAGCATGCACGTGTATGCTTGTCGTAACGATGTATATGTGTACGTCGCCCATAGCTTACCAGTCGGCTTATCAGTTAGAATCTACAGTATTTTTCTCTCACAACAAAACAGCTTCAGCAGGCTTATCAACCGGCTTTAATACCAGCCGAACATACCCTACTTCCTTGATTGCTATTGACTTGCTGGTTGTATGTGCACGAGTACACGCACAAATTCGCACGAGTACACGCACAAATTTGTAGCTTGCATGTCCTGAACTGCCCTATGGTAGATTCTTGATCGAGCAAGTGTTTGCCGAGTAGAAGCGGAGTTGGACTCGGCGGAACAGAGTCAGCACAGGCAGGACTGCTGGAAATTGGAGTCGGACTCGGCGAGACGAAGTCATAGTTGGCACCGGCAGAGTTGGACTCGGTGAGGGCGAGTTGGAGTCGAACACGGTCGTCGAGGCGGAATCAGCAGGGGCTGGTAGTCCCACAGATACCGCAATAGCATGGCTACTCTTCCACCAATTTTCGTGCCAACATTGCAAGATGGAATTTGTGACGGTAAATCTGGTGGTTGCAGGTGTGCAATATAAGAAAATGAAGAAGAGTAATAGTATTTGTATCTAAGTTCTTATCTTTCTATAAAGGTAGTGATTTATGAGACTTTGATAATAATGTAGTTTGCTTTCAATTGGAAATGTTCAAACCTTGAAGTATGCACATGCTAGTACTTGTTTAATGATTACCATTCTGTATCATTGTGAGCTCCAGAGAATCCAAGTAATTGCTTTGCTACTTTGGACCTGAAGATTTAATAAATTCTTGAGTATAATTAAAGTAGAGTGTACTTACAGTTTCATTTTTTATTTGCTCTTTTCAATTGTCTACTAACCAAGCACTCAGGTATAGAAAATTGCTTGCGCCTTAAGGATGACTAGATAGATGTTCTAAAATCTAGACATTCTATCAAAGATAGTGCTTATCTATGTACCAATTTGATGTGCACAATTCTTTGCCTCTGGCCAACTATGTCTTTCGTTTGATATTAGGCAGAAAAATTCGATGTTTTGTGACCTAGACAGATGCATATGAGTATCGGTTTTGCAAAACCTGCCAACCCAGGCTTAGTTGCTTAATCTTTCAATGGTAACCAATGTTCTTTATTAGTAGCGAGACACCTGTGGTGGCTTTTTAAATCGCAATATCTGTCAGCCCGAATTTTGGAGGTATTAGTAGGTGTGCATGTTTTTGTTAATATGGATGACGTGTGTGAACCTAACCTTTCACATCTACATCTCATTTTTAAAGAATATATATAACTATCAAGTACAATTCAAGTGTTCTATGAGAGACATGGTGACAAAAGGGGGCATGCATAGGCCATGCCCATGGCTCTGCACACAAAGTTTCAATCAGGTTGCAAGGCACAATATTAAACTATATTAAAGTGGTTAGTATTATTTAAAATGCTAAACGGTAAATAGTCAGTCACTAATTGTTTAGCCATTATTCAGGCTAAATAGGAAAACAACTATTTAAATAGGATAAACGGTCGATTAAATGGAAACGGCGTACCATTGTATAGTGTTTAAACAATGTATAAATAGGCTAGACGGCTATTTTGACGAACAATGAGTGGTTACTATTTGAGATGAGCATGCATGGGCAATAACTCCATCCTAATTTAGATTTTTGGATACATTGAATATTGAATCTAGTTGAATTCTACCAACTTTCTGCCTCCATAAGTAGGCCCAATTCAGGCCAACAAAACTATAGGGGTCTCAAGTGAAACTTACAACATAGGTAGACGTGAAAAACTTGAGGTGATCATTTTTTTCTAATGTAGGTTAATACTCCTACTTTCATTTTCATACTAGCCTGTAATCATCAGTCATCGGAGAGAAGTCAGGTGGGCCACATAAAAGTGTGTGATCTTGTTTTTCTTGATGCAATCAAGGCTCTGATTTTTATTTAATTGGCTCAACCTATGAGTATAAGTTATAGTATTTGAACTCATGCACCAACTCACACGGCACACCTCCCTTAAGATTTGTTTGGATACACTCATATTCACCTTAATTCACGTGTGTGTTGGAGTAGATTAGAATAAAAATTAAATTAAATTCCACTCTAATCCACTCCAACATGCAAAAATTAAAGTGATATGAGTGTATCCAAACAAGACGTTAATGTATAAGGTAAACCTACGATCTATATCTAGGTCTAATAGTACATGACTAAAAGATACCAACAAGCGTGGTCCATCCGTGCAAGACATTTAACTAAAAGATACGACTCTTCCAATTCAAGCTATGGCTCGGTCTCAATCGAGATTCTAGCATACTCTCCAATTCAAGCTATGGCTCGGTCTCAATCGAGATTCTAGCATACTCTCTCCATCCAAAAATAAACATATATCCCGCTTCTCGAGGAGTCAAACTTTTTGAAGTTTGACCAAATATATAAAAATGTACAAATATTTACGATGTATAATAAGTATCATCAGATTGAGCATGGAATATACTTTCATAATAAACTTATTTGATGATATAATGTTGATACTATTTTCTATATTCTAGTTAAAACTTTAAAAGTTTAACTCTCGAGAACGGAAAAGTGTATTTATTTTAGGATGTGAGGGAGTATATATTATGATGAGAAACAAAGTTAACAATCTCACACTGCAGGCCACTAGTCTTGGTTAGAAAGATTAATTTCGTCTTTTGCCTTCACCTTTGTCAGACCAGGGTATGAAACACGTGACAAGTCACCCGATTTGCTTCAATATGCACCCCACCGAGAACTTATGCATCTTTGTCAGATTGGATTTTGATAGCAGTATACGCACTACAAGTCTACAACCATAGAATTTTACTAAATATAAATAAAATAACTTGTAGTTATATCTTTGGAATCAGCACCATACTTGGTCTCAAAATCCTGCCAACCATCAATTTATTTCAACCACGACCAAGGTGAAGAACATGTTCATGTTAATTAATATGGTAAAACAATGATATATTTGATTCACACTAAGATAGGCAAGGTGGGATTAATTATGCTCAAAATTTTAACGTGTGCCCAAAAACAAAAACAAAAAGATTAAGCTAAGTTAATTTTCTAGAAAGATTATTCTTTTGTTAGTGGAAGTGACGTGGATTAAAATCTGTAACTCTGATTGAGCTCAATCTCTGCTAGAATACGAGCGCGTTTGGGAGGGCTCTTTTACGCCTACTCCGATGCTAGAGCTAGAGCCCCTCGGGTGAAGCCACTTTTCGTGGCTCCTTGTCCGTACGAGGACACGGCGGTGGCTTTATGATTTGGTGGCCAGCAGTGCTTCTCCACGCGAGGGCGTTAGGAGTATGGAAGCCACGCCAAACAAGACCTAAACTAAACATACATTTTGAACTAACCTAACAACAATCACACCGGTCAGATTTATCTATCAAGTGAATGGTTTCAGAACTAAATGTAAACTTGAAACAAGATCAATCTATCTAATACTTAGGGCCTCTTTGGCACGGCTTATGCTGGCTTCGACTTCATCTATTTTGCGCAAATCGAGGCACTGTAGCGTGAAGCCGTTTTGTAAGCCGAGGTTAAAATGAACTAGAAGCCGAGAAAAGTCAGTTTTTCTGGCTTCACCGGTGAAGCCGTTTTGGATGAGCCGTGCCAAATGGGACTTTAAAAGGCGGATGCAAATTAAACGAAAATGAAAAGACACTATTACACAAATGCTTTTTACACGTCTTCAATTTTTTTAGGACAGTACAGCTAAAACCGCTTCTAAATAGAATGATCACTGTAGTTAACAAACCGCTTTTGAAAATCTATTCCGACTTTCTGAGGTCTGATTGTCTTAGAAAAGGACCAAGAGATACTGGCATTTTCAGGGGCAGCTCGTGCGGTCCCACATGTCAGCCTCTCCACATGATCGGAACCTCGCCGAATCTGTTCCCTGGCGCGCGAGTGGCGAGCGTGCGCACAAGCCAGCCAAGCGATGCCGCTCCTCTTCCCCGCCACGCCGCCGCTGCTGCTGTGCTGCGCAGCGCGCGCCTCACGCCGCGCCACGGCTGCCGTGGCGTCCGCGGCCAGGAGCTCTTCCTCGTCCTCGGCCTCGTTCGACGCGGCCGCCTTGGAGGCCGAGCGGCTCCGCCTGGACGCCGCGACGCGGGCTGGGATGGAAACCACCGCCGCGGCGGCGGAGGCCGACCCGCGGGCCTGGAAGTGGGCGATACGGAAGCGGGTGTGGGACGCGCTCGAGGCTGAGGGCGTCGCGCGGGACCCGCGCCCCGTCCACCACCGCATCCCCAACTTCGACGGTGCCCCCGCCGCCGCAGACGCGGTACGGCGGCCCACCTTTCCTGTGGTGTGAAATTATGCCGAGTGCAGATACGCAGATTAGGTTGTTAGTGGTAACCTTATGTGAAATTATGTCATTGCAAATTGTGTTCCAGTTAGAGCGTGATGTGGAACCCCTGCATAGCATTTGATCAAGCCGTTTGCTTTGTTTTTAATGCGATGTAACTAGACCAGGCACCTAAAATGTTTTGGTTTCTCTGATCCAAATCGGGGGCTAAAAAAATTGCTATGTTATCATCTGTAGGAGCAAGAGATTATAATTGTTTGATTAAGCTATCGCATGTGCTGCACTTATTGATCATTCATTACATAATTTGTACACATACAACTCTTTGGTTCTATTCCTGTTGCTTTGTAAATTGATTTCTGTGCTCATCATTAACTCTTGCAATGTTTCAAACTGTCACCAGTTGGGGAGGCTTGACATATTTCAGAATTCCCAGTGTGTAAAGGTCAATCCTGACACACCTCAAAAGCAAGTTCGGTTCTTAACACTGTCAGGTCAGTACTTATCAGTGCTACAACTTATGATGGCCTAATCGTGTCTACGTATTATTTGTGGCAGCAGCATATTAGCATGTGCATAAACTTTGTCGGCACATATAAAAAAATTAAAACTAAATCAAATTGATGGTCTTTTTCTCAAATAAAACCAAAGTTTCCACACCAAAGAACAGCAATAGTTAGTAGACCGCACCAAAGAAGTTTCCACAGTTTCACCTTCTTTTTTACCATCAACAGAAAATAAACTAAATCAAATTGATGGTCTTTTTCTCGAATAAAATTGGTCTTTTTGTTGAGTGAACACTGCCTTAAAATGAAAAACTATGCTTAATAAATTAAAGTCTTCCTGTTCCTCGTCCATAAATGTTTGTGAACTTCAACTTCAGGGATTTGCAGAGCTGGAATATGGAATGCTTCGCTATATGGGAGCTATAGATGATTCAACCATGATAGTAACTACTGGTGAGTTCTCTTTATTGATTTTGCTAGTTGCCTGTTTTCTACATGGGTCAGATTTGTTCAGTGATTCTGTAAGATTGATACACATAATCTATTCCTACCTTACTGTTCTTGAGCTCGAGTAACAGCTATATTAGCCTGTATCTAACAGGGCTTAACTTTGCTATTCTGATTCTAGCAAAGATTGAAATAAGTGAATTTAATCTCTGCGTGCATGTGCTGTGGCCCAGGTGGCCATGGGCTGAGCCAGCCCACAGGCGATGGCAGCAGCTACAGCGGCAGCTTCTGCTGCCATTCCTGCCTTGTGCCTTGTGGGCACGGCAGGAGGCACCCTAGGGCGGCAGCCGGCGTCATTTCCTACTATCAATCTGATGATGATCCTTGACTTGAGGTGGAAGGGTGGTCAGCTGCCTCCCTAGAGTATGCCTCATGCTGGCATGGCAGCACCTGCTGCCACCCTAGCTGCTGCCACCTCTTCTTTTTCTGAATTGGAAAACTGTTGGTGCATTTTATGTTCTTTGATGGATTTGGAATTGCTTGTTGCATATTTAGTTCGTGGGTAGTCACTTACAAAAATGCCAACTATTTCTGCGCTTACAGTGCATGACAAGCAGTTAGTGGATGACATTCCAGTGGAGAAGCTGCTAGTTCATGATGTGCCAGTTGGCATTATCTGCACCCCAACTCAGGTCATCTTCACAAAGACTACAATCCCAAAGCCACAAGGTTTGGCCAATTCCTATCAGTTATTTACTCCTTTTTTCTTGAAAAAACAGGAGAGCTGCGCTTCATTATATTAAGAAGAAAATGGGACAAGAACCTAGTTACAACACACCACAAACGCCACATTACTCTGTGAATTAGTCTCATATGACCAAATATTGGAGAATTTTGTATGCAGGGATTTACTGGGAAAAGTTATCTCCAGAAAAATTGGGCCAAATCCGAATTCTAAGAGAGCTGAAGCAACGCATAGAGCAAGAGACAGGAACTATACTTCCTTGTGGGCCTTCAGAGAAGCTACCGCCAACAGCTCAGAGAAGGCAGAGGTGGCGGCGGCGACGATGAGACTTTTGTATGCTTCTCTTAACTGTTTCTTTTACTCAACACAGAGCTATGTGCACCCTTTTCTTTCTTTGGGCAAATCAAGATATTCTTCACGGTTCAAAACTGCAGGCTTTAGACTACCGAAACATTTTGATATCAGATGTAACAGAAATGCCAAAAAAAAATCTTCGTTTGCACTTAAGAGGCAACGAGGATAGATTGTATAGCTCTTTCCACACCTGTTTAATTTGTACGCAAGTATGAAGTTCCATTTGGCATTACAATGAGTACTTAAACTTTGTATCTTGAATGTAGCAGTTAGTTGAAATTCGAAAACATATTATATGGAGTTGTAACAGTAAAATACTGCTATGGAAATGATTTGGGGAACTACTGGATTCTATATAGACAGCATAGCAACCAACCTTAGGAAGTCTGGCATGCCAAAATACAGGATCTTTTGAACGAATCACATAATTGTGTTACTACTACCATGGGTTTGTAGATTTTTTTTTCTAATTGGCATATCGTTGGAACAAATAAATTCCTCATATATATTGATTGACCTTTTTTATTGAGTTTGTAAACCCTAGACTGCAAAAGTACACATATATGACTATATGAGCTATGGTCACTTGGTCAGAGTATGTAGACGAAGTTACTAGTCTGCATATGTCTTGTGCACTTGAGCCAAACTGTTCATGAGTACATGGCATAAAAATCTAGTAGAGGTGTCAACCACCAGGCAGCTTGGATGATTAGTTTATTTGTCTGTTGTTTAACTTGGTTAGTTGCTGTCTTTTCGAATGCCAGCCATTGTTGAGTACCAACTATTTTTCGTTCTTTACGTGAATGTGGTAGGTATCCAATGCAGTTGGTTTCCTTTTTTTCTTTTCTGTTCTAAAGAAGGTAGAGTAATCCCCAGTGATATTTTGTGACATGTTACTTTTGGGGCTTTGTGCCTCCTCAATCTGAAGTCTGAACAGACATGTATCACGGTAGAATTAATTATCGCAGCATTATCTCTCATCCACTGACAATTCTTAAATCGTATTTTGCAATCACTCGGGATTGGCTTAATTAATTTCAGCTCATACTACTGTAGTGATAGCAATTAATCCAGTACTAAACAACTTTGTTCTTGTTCTTGGTTGATGTCAACATTTCTCATAGCTATGGGCAGAGTTAGCACATACTAATGAGTCCACCAAAATCTCTTATTTCATTGTGTTTATGAAAGAATCAGTTAGCTGCAAAAGGCTAGCTACTAAACTTTTACCTAGCATAATGAAATAACTTCACAGCATAGTAATTCTGGTTCCAACTTCCCTGAACCGCAAGGCCAGTGTCTATACAGTGAGATCCCGGATTAATGTATTCATGGTTCCGACCAGATCAGCGCTTGATGTCTGGTCATAGCTGCCTGCTGTTCTTCTTTTCCATTTAATTCGGCATGTGCCGGTATGCACATATACATATGCTGATATGCATGCTGTTGACTTATGCCTAACATGCAAAACGAATGAACCATCACTGTCTCTGACCTTCCTAAATTTTTGTATCATTTGGTAGCTGCCCATCAGCCCATGCATGACTTTACCGTGAAGAAGGTGCTCAACGTCAGGTGGTAGGAGCAAGCATCACCTAAAAGTTTAAATGAGGAAGCAAAATATTCCAACCACTCCAATCCTGTGTTCAAAACGCTTTGTCCAAATTTCATATGCATTCTTCAGCATGAAGCCAACGTTCTTTGGAATTGGAAGTTCAAACTGCATCCCAGTCACACCGCCTTTGTAAGTTCTCAGAAAATCAATGCTCCTCGTGTGCAAAGAGGACAGGCAGGTCATCAGGCATTTTTGACCTGCCATTGTATAACTTGCAGGAGTCGTATACATGACGGTGTAGACGTGTAGTTGAAACTTGAAAGTGTAAGTTGGCCTTCATCTGTAATTCTGTATACAGACAGAAGGAACTATTATACACTTGGGATACCTTAGTCCCACTTTATCTTTTGGGATAATCAATGTTGTCAAAGTTTGAATTCGAAACTGTCATGTCATCATAATCAATGTTGTTTTATACTTCCTCAGTCTCAGAACGGTATAGCGTACTTTGATCAGGCAAAAGTCATTTGCTAAAGTTACCAAAAAAGAAGAAGTCGTTTGCTAAAGAATCAATATCATATCGGATGCACTTCGAATATAAATCTAATGCAATTTTTATGTTCTAAACTTGTAGATAATTTCACGATTTTGTTGGTCAAAGTTTGTAAAATTTGACTTTTCGTATTAGGTAGCCTTACGGTTTGGAATTGTGACTGCATTTTAGTACTATGGAGTTGTCGTGAAGTCATTTGCTAAAGAATCAATATCGTATCGGATGCACTTCGAATATAAATCTAATGCCATTTTTTGTTCTAAACTTGTAGATGATTTCGCAATTTGTTGGCCGAAGTTTGTAAAATTTGACTCTTTGTATTAGCTAGCCTTAAGGTTTAGATTTGTGACTGCATTTTAGTACTACGGAGTTGTCGTGAACTCTCAACAACTATTTCTTTTATATTTCTAATTACTTTTGGGAGAACGTGGATGAAGACGGCGGCGCATGGTCTCCGTAAGCAATGAACTCGTCACCTATATGGCTATATATGATGAAGTGGTCAAAATGTAGGTACACAATGCAAGGACCTACTGCAAGGTGCATCTCTTCTTTTTTTTTTTCCTTTTTTTGCGAAAGCAAGGTGCATTTCTCGTGCTATATATAGGTGTGTGTGTGACGTAACAGCGTATCAAAGCAAGCATGTTAACTTAAGAGACAATTTTGCCCATACGCAGCCGCCCTCGTGTCATTTGTCAACCGTATCGTGAGGACTGGACTTGGCTGTCCCATCTGCGCTTCTGGCAGTCAGAATGAACCTAGACATGGATTGATCACAATGGCACTGGCATATTAGAGCAACTTCAAGAGCCTCGGTAAAACCTTCCGTGTATTCCGTTTTAGCGTTTTTTCCGAAAAAAATCGGCTCCAACAGGCTCAGTAGCACGATCGCCAAAAAGCCGAGTATGCTATTCCGTCTTTGTCGCTCGGTAGATTTGGATACTGAGGATCGCTCGCCATCTGCGTTTTCCTGGTTTGTCCGTCCGACGGCAGCATGCAGGCCCACGGTCTTCTCATGCAGGACACAGTCTCACGTCTGTATTGTCTCAAGTCTAAAATAGAGAGCCTAATTTAGACAGTCTGTTGCAAAACTTTTCTGTTTTGATGGTCTATAAAGATTTATAGAGCCAATTGAGGTCCAAATTTACATAAGCTCTTGGAGTTGTTCTTAACTAACCACAGCGATATGCATGGGCTCTCAGAACGAACTCTTTCAGCATGGATCCTGGAATCCTGACGTGGGTAAACATCGACGTGGGATCTATAAAAAAGCAAACAATAATATATGCATTTCCTTTTACTCTCCCTCTCCCTCTCTCTCTCTCTCTCTCTCTACACACTGTTGAGCATCAGGAGTGAGGAATCATCGATGTCAGTATAGTTTCTTTAGGCATCCCTGCCGCAATGTACAAATCGATGCCCCAACTTTGTCTTTCCTCTTTTCGGCATCGACCTCTGCCCACACTGTGGGTAGTCTTGTAACGATCCAATCATGGTCAACACATGAACACATGCCTGCGAGATTTATATTTCCGTACAGTTAGCGTGCGAGCACGTTGTAGGGCATGCAAGAATCGAGATCGCGCCATTTCCATGTAAAATTTGTGCACCTAGATGCGTCAAAGGATGGAGCGACTGCTCGTTGATCAACAAATTACCGAGTATAAACTCGATCTTTTTTATTCGGCCTGTTCGCCGGTTGATTTCTGGGCTGATAAGTCTGGCTGGTGCTGATTTGTTGTGAGAGAAAACACTGTTGGCTAGCTGATAAGCCCTGGCTGAAACCAATAAGCGAACAGACTGATTATCGGCAGTGCTTGCTCCCGGACGTCTAGACGGACGCCCCTGCCCGAACACCCGTGTCCGGACACCCATGCCTGCACCCTCTTTCCACGCCTGCACCCTGTGTACCGCTCGACCCCGACGCAACGTCTGCGCCCCACCCAACCCCACGCAACATCTACGCCTCGCCCAACCCCTCGCGCCCCCAACAACTGCAGCAGGCGGATCACATTGCTACATGTGCAACACCCTGATTTATTTTTGAAACATCTAGATGCAACACTTATAACATACGTCTGAAGATAGATGAAACATTTAAAACATGAGTCTGAAACACTTACAAAAACACCTAAAGACACTTGAAAACCATTGCAAACATACGTAACATCCAGATAAATACTTGCAACATATGTGTGAAACATACGCAACATCTAGATAAACACACTTGCAACATACATCTGAAAAAACAAATGAAACATTGGGAACAGACGTTTACAACATACGTGTACAACTATTACAACATATGCAACATCCCGATCTACATTTGAAACATTCATACGAAACACTTGCAACATACCTATGAAACCTATGAAACACTTGAAACATACGCTAGCAGCACGTGTTTTCAACGCAACATCAACTTGCTGCTTGGACGATTGGAGGCTCATCGATGCGGAGCTCGACGCCGGCGCAAAGCTTGATGCCGTAGAGTGGCGCACAACTTCGGTGGAGAAGGCCGCTCCGGTGGAGAAGGCGGTCGACGCGGTGGAGAACGCCAGGGGGGAGGGGATGGCCCGGTGAAGAGGAAGGATCGTGGGCGGTGGGGCTGGAGCGTGGTGGGGAGAGGACGCCGACCAGTCGGGCGAGGTGGAGTCTTGTGACTCGTCATTACCCCGAAAAGCTAATCCTTATGCAACAAGTACCTAATAGCATTTATCGAAGTACTTACTTGAATAAAATACTCCTCTTTCGCAACAACTTGCTGCTTGTTGAGAGCAAAAACAATTGATTGGTTTGGCTTCAGCAAATTGTTACATCTTTTCACAGCTGTGTTATGATAGCTTGTTATCCCACCTACATGA